ATCCTAGAATACTTCGCCGCCAACTTGGATGTCAAGAAGAACCTGAAAAGCAATACTCTGCTCGAGTTCTTGCACATCGTCCTTGTAAACCTCAACGAAGGCGAAGCTGAGATCTCTGTCCTGCGAGCAGGTCTGGATACAACCAGTGTCTATATGAGCAAAGGCAAATTCGCAGAGGGGCAAGAGCTTGCTGAATACGTCGATCGCTTTCAGAAATTCTATGGGGGCTATGATACTCTGCCCAAGATAGATATGGGTCTACGCCTAGCGCAAGTGCTGGTTGGCAACAGAGCTAAGCACATCACTGATGCTCAGCTTCGCGCTTCTTCGGTGGCTTTATCGGGATCAATCATGAAACAAATCATCCAGCGATTCCGCACCGGTAAACTCCAGATCGTGGATCTGCCAATTGAACAGCTGAATAGTGTATGCGGCCTGCTTGGAGAAATTCAAGACCTAGAAGCTCTTGAGGTAAGCATATTCCTACCCTGTTCCCTTATTTTGTGTCAATCCTAACAATAATCACAGTGGCTCCTTACTCAACTCTGGAAATCTCGTCACTCGCAACTTTCCTGGTCTTCCTCCACAATCGTGCATATCGGCCGCCTCCTCGTTGAAACGCAATTCTCCAGCGGCCACCAAGACCAAGCTACCCATCTCCTCGAAGACATGTGTTACAACATCCGTCGTGTATGGGGTCCACTCGACTCCACCACTCTCGAGATGCAGAATCTACTCTCTGCATTCTACACCGCGTCTCCCCATCCAGATCTTAGAAAAGCAATGCGTATTCATGAAGACATACTTCGAAGTACTGTCTCCGATGCCGGTGATGAGTTACCCAGAGATAAAGCATGCATCATTGCCATTGCACAATTGGAGCTATTGAAGAGAGCTTATTGGAGAAAGGGGACTTGGGACAAAGATGTAAGTGTTTACGTCGATCTTTGGAGACAGATAGAACAAGAGTTTGAGAGTGAAAATGCGTGGAAAGAGGCGGTGAAGCTGCTTCAGAGTATCGATAAATGGGGTGTTAAGAAGGGCGAAAAGGGTGAGAAAGATGATGAGTTGGGTGTTTGGAAGAGACCCGGAAGTTTTGAATTCATGACGATGGAAGAGGGGAAGAGACAACATTCGAATATGTTAAGGAAGATCAGTAGTATTTGGGGATTTTCGGGTCATAGCCATAACCATGAGAGGGAGAGGGAAAGAGAAAGTGTTTGACTTGCACCTGGTGGAGGTGAAGGGGTAATGCCAAGGAAATTGCGAGGAGGGAAGTCGAAGGAGTGTTTTTATTCACTGTTTGGTTTCTTTGGTTGTTTCTTTGGCTGTTGTGTATAATCGGTTTCTTTTTGAGTCTTGTTCTTGCGAGGGTCTTAATGTATGATTTTTTCTTTGGGGTTGTTGATAGCATTAATATAAGTTTTTTTTAGCGTTCATATCGTTATTCATTGAGTTGTGCTATATGATCTGCATAAAATAGGTAGATACATACATTTACTCAAGCTGCTGGCTGCTGCAGTGTTTTACACTACCTTGAGCTTTTTGAGGTCATTGCTTTAGTCAGCGAAACCGCAATTGCTTAGTATTCAACGTCCATCTTCAAATCATCCATGTCCTTAATTAATGAAAAGAAAAGCGCTTAGATTACACACAAGCACGTTTCTGTAGAATACAGGGTGTTTGCCAAGACATCTTAATTAATATGGAAACACTCTTGACCGACGTTCTTACAGATTAAAGAAAATAATCTGACGGAGTTCGGATCGCTCAAAACATTGACCGACTGACTCTCAGTGGAGCCCATCATCCAGAACCCATAAAACAACTTATCACAGCCGGCTCTCCATCCCCATTTCGGCAATTGTCAATCGCGGAGTGACATCTCCCGCGTGGGGTCTCCAGAAATTAGTTTATTAATAGCCGGCCCGAGCCTCCGATTATCCCCTGAGTATTCATTTGTGAGGTGGAATTTCTCCGTCGCCCAGGCTTATCGTGTGGGTTCCGGATCATGTGCATGTATTGATGGTGATGTGTGAAGGATCGACAGGGTAGAAGGATGGGTCGGAATAACTTCATCTATTCGGATACTACCCGGCATGGATCTTTTCGGCATTGTGGGAGGTGGTTCCCTTAGTTCCGGTGGCGGAATTTTGTATATAGATCTGTGGTTCTGAGTACATGATTTTTTTGGACATTCATATTTTATTCTTTTACCTTTGAAGCTCAAGTCGGTGTGATTCGAGAAAAGAGATAATCAATCATGCTTTTGAAAAGTCTCATCTCCGCGATTGGAGCCTTCGCCGCTTCGGTGGATGCTACTATTTACTATGCAGGAGTAGCTGAGAGTGGTGGAGAGTTTGGAGTTTATAGTATGTGTTTCTGCTATCATTTCGTTCTTCATGATCTGGAATTGTACTAGACTATGTTGACCTTAGATGGTCTAATGCTAACTTTAAATAGGTGGAACAGGTACCGTGGGAACAGGATTACCGGGGGTGTTTGGACAGGATTATGCTTTCATCAACAAATCTGCCATTGATGTTTACGTGGATAAGAATAAGGTAGGTTGATGACTTGACTCGATCTCGCATACTTCACAGCGAGAATACTGTGCCGATACTCGAGAAATCTAACAGCTTTCCAGGTAAACTTATTCCGAGTAGCATTCCTCCTCGAGCGAATGTGTCCTCCCGCTACCGGCTTAGGTGCTACATTCGACGAGAAAGTAAGTCTCTTCAACCTCCCCCTTCATGATTAGCCGAGCTCACATCTAAATTAGCATTACGCCTACTACGCGGATGCGATTAACTATATCACTAAAACCAAATCTGCATATGCTATCCTAGACCCTCACAACTATATGCGCTACAATGATCCTTCTTCTCAACCGTACTCCGGATCCGTGATCGGTAACACAACGGATCCTAAAGCTGCAACCACGGCACAATTTGCTGCATTCTGGGGAGAGTTGGCGAATAGATTTAAGAGCAATACGAAAGTTATCTTTGGATTGATGAATGAGGTCAGTTGATGCTATTATATTCTGGAAGAAATTGATCAAGTCTAACGAAAGCGTTAGCCCCATGACATGCCCACCAGCTTGGTAGTCGCAAACGATCAAGCTGCTATTACTGCCATTCGTAAGGCTGGTGCTAAAAATCTGTGAGTAATCCGACCATCCCCATAATAAAAGATACCATAGCTGATCAAAAATACAGGATCTTGGCACCAGGAAACTCGTGGACAGGAGGTCATGCTTGGACCGAAGGCAGCGACCCATCCAGTGCTTTGATGCAAACGCTCCAGGATCCTCTCAATAATACCGCAATGGACATCCACGAGTACCTCGATGTCGATTTCTCAGGTGGACACTCTGTCTGTGCATCTCCCGCTCCAGAACTTCTCGCCCCTCTGACCGCTTGGCTCAAAACCTACAATCTCAAAGCCATGATTACCGAATTTGGTGGTGCTAACGGTACAGAATGCGCTCCATACATTAAGGGAATTGTCGATTACATGGCGCAGAATAAGGAGTATATAGGATGGACAGCTTGGGCCGCTGGACCCTTTTGGGGAACTAATTCGCCTTGTTGTGCAGATTCGCAGCAATGGGGAAGTTTGGAACCGGGAAGTCTGGCTTCGGATGGAAGTCCTGGGTGAGTTTATCCATTTGTTAGATGAATGATTGATGTGCTAATTGATGATAGATTGTATACGACTGTTTGGTTGAATGTTATTCAACCATTGTTGCCGAAGACTTTGCAGAAGTCGGGAGCGGCGACTGTGCATTAAATTTAGTCGTGGTGTGATACGAGTGTTGTGATTTGAATCAATACCGATGTTGCCTTTTGTGCGACTTTGTTTCTTAGGATGCCATGTCTATGATACAAAAACAGCTAGTTCTATGTATATAAATATGAATGTGATCTTCTATTCTAGTCTATCCCGCAAATGATACGAAGCGTTCCGGACTCCGGGATAGATGCCCTGACATTGTTGAGTCGTGTGTATGTAGATATATTACTAGCGGTCGTAACATAATGCTTTCTACACATCGTTCTGAAGATAAAAAGTCAGTCAAATGTGTTACCTTGCTATGAGATTGTTTCACCTCGCCGGTGCCGAGTTCGTGGATATGTACCCAGTCCATAAATGGACACTCCTCTGATGATTAAGTCTGTCATCTCAAATTAGACCTTTGTGATCAATGATTCTCACTCTATATGAATTGAGATATTACAGACAAGTGACTCGCGATTGTTAAAATAGAAATGATATATCATATAGCTTCAATTTTAGGATCTCAGATTAGATAAAGAAAGTCTAGTTAAGTATCCATTAGATTTAAATATACATGTTGTGTAAATGTTGTGTCACAACGCATTTATGAACATCCTTTAGCGTTATACCTAGTCTTGGTGATCAGCCTCAGCCTTATCACAGATAACCACGCCGAAGCCACACCGTTGTCTTCTAGAACCTCCCGAGTCCAGCTTGGAAGTGCGGGACCTCGGGATCTAGCGGCCTGTGGCTAGTGTGTGGAGTCCATATACGTCATAGGCCTAGAACCCCTCGTTTTCTCTTGGCCCCACGACAACTATTTCATTATTAGTAGCTACTGTGAAAGGACCAGAACTATACAGATATAAACTTGCATTGATGGAATCTACTCTGCGCCAGTAGGTATTCAAAGACATTTATTTTCGAAAACTATCTTGGATTCTCGTCGGGTGAGGTGAACACGCCTTCGAGTCTGATGCCATCTATAGTATAACCGCTACTACCCGATTCCCAATAACTGAAACCATCTTAACAATGTATCAAAACATAATAATCCAATCTTGTGTAAAACATCAGCGCCATCCCATGCCCCGGTATAAAAATCCATTGCCTCCGTCATAAACAACAACTCCATCAATGTTACCATGTGTACCAATACATCCATCAATAATTCAAACTATCCAGCCGGCATTAAGTGATTTACCCTGCCTTGAATATCAACCCCAACTCTGATTGTATGGTATAAAGCTCGCGGAGTGTGTTACTTGGTAGAGCTCGATCGTAGGTTCAGAAGAAGGTTCCACTGCAGCAAAAGTCACAGCCGGAACGAACAAAGAGAAATCTTGGAATTGATTTGTCGCACGTTGAGGGGTGGATCTGATTGAGCGGAGATTGTTGTGGGTTCCATCATGAAATGAAATTAGAGCCCGTCTAGGAAGACTGGAAGATTCTGAGATCGAATGTGCTCGACTGGAGGGTAGACTCGTATTTCGTGGTCCCGACTCAAGATCAGGTTTTGGCATGTCTAGCTACTTATTAGCCGTTGAATTCTGGGTCATCATTTTATGATTCGTTGCATACCAAAGGCAGCTTTTGGTTTGCACATGACATAGAGAGAAATAATCCCAAGGAGAACGCTAGTCAGTCCAAAGCATATAGCAATAATATCGTCAATAGCAACTAATTTGGACGGGTTAGCTTTGGGGTAGTTGCGAGCTTCTGTTACCGGTACGTGGTAGGTTGAAGGATGTTCTACTGACGCATGATGGAAATGATGGTTCTTTGGTGTAAGAGGTGGTAATGATACCCGGTTTCTGTAAGGCTCCTGGCCTTCTGAGTTGATGACTTTTGAGTGTGTTTGTTTGATTCAGATAACGATGGATGCAGGAAGTGCATCTATATAAATACAAAAAAGTGAAGAAGAAACCAGTCAGACTTTTTGATGCGCCATATATACTGAGTGATAGAGGTACATACCATCACTTGCAGCATCTCATCATCTTTATGGCCCTGTTATGCAACAGGGTAAGTTCGGGGGGGTAAACTATTTAGGTGAGCGAAGTGAGTAAGGTACGCTAGACCAACGGAGCTTTATCCGTTTGTGGGTCGTTTGTGGGTGAACAAGGGGAAAATTAGAAAAAAGACAAGGAATATATCCGTTGCCAGAGTCTGTGTACGTCGTAGTAAACCTAGTAATCAGATAAATGGGTACTGGTGTAGGTACTCGTACAGCTGGAGATATGCATCGATCTGCTGGTTGTGTTGATCTGCTGGCTGCGTTGGGTTCCCAACTTCCCACACAGCCCCATCAGAATCACGATTTGACTACAAACTTGTCAGGACGGTATTCTCATCAGGGCCATCCACAAAGTGCTTCTCGTCGGGGCCATCTACGATAACACACGGCATTTTGCACGATGACTTGCACTAATGTACGTACACGGCTTTTATGTACATACATCTGAATTCTAAAAGACTAAACTAATAAAATAACTGGACAACGGCTCTTCATGATTTGACGCTCATTCAAATGTCTTTTTCATGTTCAAGTTCAGAAAAAAGCATTGAGCTATTGGCCGTTATCTACCTGCTTGTTTTTCTCCTGTTTGGCATTGCGTACGTGGTGTTCTCAATTCGATACCAGGTATGATAACAAAGTCAATCTTGCGGGATGAGCCTCGTCTGAGTTCCATAAATATTTTTAGTGTAGAAATCCGTACTTTGACGCTAAGCCTCTTTCGATAGCAACCCTCACGAACTCCAACTGGAAAGCCAATACTTTGCCGGTAGTAGCGAGATGGAGACGGTCCAAGCTTTCCAGGGCGGTAGAAGGAAGGTGGAGATCAAATGGAACAAATGAAACCTTCCATAGAATTACTTAAATGAGTGGAGTGCTTATCCCCTAAGATGCCAGCTACGGCCGGGTTCGCTTATAATGCCTTATCAGCCAGTCGAAGTATTGATAAAGATATCCTCCCTCGTACATCAGGGCCATGGCATCTGACCACTATCTACCTACTCGAGTCGAGTACCTAACATGCAGAGATTACATTGGGATCGAGAACAAATACTCGTGTTTAGACCCACTTTGACATCGGCCAACGAGATTCCAAGGGTGCCTCTTCCGGACGTGGGGAAAAGCCTTTGGATAAGCGTTACGAGTTTTTCGAGGGAGGTATTGGTGTTTTACAGTTCTCCACACCAAAATGTGGAAGCCAATAGGACTTGCAGGGCCTGCCTGTGCTTAGCATTTCTTCGAGAAAGGCGTGAATCGCGTGACGACACGTCGCTCAGGTTGAATGATCTAGGTATGGGACTCGGGACTCAGTTCAGTTCAGTCCCTCCCAGTACCTACCTATAAAACGCAACCCCAACCGCTCTCAATTCGATGGTGAGATTGACCTACCCAAGGCCATTGAATGTACAGTGGTTGAAGGGTAGCTTGACGCAAAACTCACATGATATATGATATAGTGACCAGTTAATAGTATTTTATCCTGCGTTGCGTACTTCCTGGCACGTCTCTGGTACGCTGGGGGTGAAGAAGCACTCTGGGCTTGGCTTGTCAAGAGCAGAGCTTTTGACGGAAAAGTTAGATCCCCAATCCAAAGGCTTGATTCGTACGTGGATTCAACCATCGATATCTTGAATTATTACAACCCAATCATATTTCCAGATTTCAAAATCTTGAGTGGATGTTTCAGACCCTCCAGTGCTTCTTAGCCTTAACCGTGAGGCCTTAGATCCAAGGCAGTAGCTACCTCAGGGAATACATGACAAGGGGTATAGAAATATTATATAATCATATATGGTCCGAGCACAACGATTTAATTGTCTACGGCACGTGGCTCAGATCACTCTTAGTGGGATCTTTACCCGATTAGTAACCAAATGACATTATCGATCCCGCAATCTCAATTCTCCAACTTTCAATCCTCTCAACGTCGATTCAAATACGTGGTTGAAAGATTCCCCCCCATATATATATAAACTTTCACTTCGATGCTTCCCAATTTCCTCCCTTCTATACATGTCAATTCTGCATCTCTCAATATCTTTTATGTTTGTTGTTTGTTTTTCTATTTCCTCATTTCCTCATGTATTTTCAAGAAACCTGCTTTTTGCTCCCGTAATTTGTTGAACTTTGGCCAATCAGAGCTCAGTAGCCCTGCCATCTACGAATCCTGTTCCAAGGTATTTTGGAACTTTGCCAACAGATTACCCCTGGGATGTGACCGGCGTACTGCAATATTCACTGCAATTTTACCTGCAAAATGACATCGTCGACCCAAAACAGGGTCGCACCCCTGTGCAACCTGATAAATGTATAGATAGCATTACATTATTAGGTCCATTGGACCCTGAAATCAATCTGTTGTACTCTCCTCTATAATAAATCGCCTATTTTTCGAAACTCAAACATATGAAGGCGTCGATTTTTCTGAGTCCATTTTGTGACCTCAGTTATTGATGCGATAGCTTCAAATCCGTGCTGCTACTACAATTATACCAAATCCTCATTGTATGGAGTAACAAACAATAATTGAAGAAAGCACCCTCAAAATGGCTCATCAAGACTCACCACGGTCTTCGCCGTCGTCTTCGACAACTGAGAACCCAATTGTTGCAGTTGGTAGGAAAGTAAAGTCGGTTCTGAGCACACACCAACGACCTACCATTCGTATCTATCGCGACTCGTCGACTGCCGAATCACGAAATATGCCGTCAACAAGAGACTTTTCTGAAAAATCTACCCCCAATCCGTTACCTCGTGAAAGTACCCAACAAAATCGCACTGGTCTTTCAGAACAATCCGTCACTCAAGCGGTAAACCACCCTCTTCCATTGCAAGGAAATGTATTTACCAATCGCTTTCGATCGCTATTTGGCCGTGGGGAATACTCCAAAGAGCCCGAATCTTATGAGCATGAATATGACCCTGATATGGTAGATTTGCTGGATGTTATGGGCATGTATAGCCATACCAGCTTCTCAGCTACTAGACTGACTCTCTGCAGATCCTGAAATATCTACTCTCTCCACTCTTACCAATGTCCAGAATTCCCTCTTCGTGCCTCAAATGGGAGGTTTCGTTAATCGTCAGCCGACATATAAACTTTCAGAACGCCCAGGAGAAGTACGCACGATTGATAAGATTAAAGCAAAGCTGAAAAATCTACGAAATCCAGAAAAACAAGCGGATAGTGATACATGGAAGCCGCCAAAATTAGAGTATGCCGTTTTGCCTGATGGAGAAAGGCTTGGTGGTTGGACGCCCGCCGAGGTGGATGAGCTGGATGATCTTGTTAGACATCAACTTCATTCCCGACGAGCGAAATTCAAGCGTTCAATGAAAGGATTCGGACAGTATGTTCGCAGACGTGAGTTAACTTTTCACTTTAGGCCCGCTTTTGACTAACTTTATTTGTATAGCTTTGGGACTTTTCATCACAGTTTACGCAACCTTGATCACATTATTCGGTGCGGCCTGGGTACTATTTCTCATCGGCTGGATATCTCTAGGTTCTCGAAAAGCTTATATTGTCAACATTGTTGATAATGTGCTCGTTGCTCTTTTCGCAATCATTGGTGATGGTCTAGCCCCTTTCCGTGCAGTTGATACCTACCACATGGCCTATATAGCACACTATCATCGCAAAACTTGGAAACGTCGTGAGAAGCTCGGTCTCCCAAAGCTATGGGACCATAACGATCTCCCAGAACAACGCAAGGAAGATATTGCTCCACCTCCTCAGGTCGATATCGAGAGTCTATGCGCCCGCCGAATGCCCAAAAGTTTCGCACGTAGAGTTGCACCACGCATACCCAAGAAGTACGCCGATAGAATGATTGCTCGGAATCAAATAGAAGTAGAGCCAAATTACGAATATACCGTCCTCTCACCAGAGGAACAGAGTGTCCTCGAATACCACGAACGAAAATTCTCCAAAAGTCACACATTCTATAAGCCACACGAGACAGAGACCCATTACGCATTCCCTTTGAAATTACTTTTTGCCGTCGTCATATTACTCGATTTACATTCCTGTCTTCAAATCACGTTAGGTGCATGTACGTGGGGAATTTCGTACAAAACTCGACCATTCGCCCTCACGACAGTCATTCTATGCTGTAGTATCACTTGCAACATCATGGGAGGAGTTCTAATATCCATGGGCGACAAACGTACACGAAAACATGACGTTATTGAAAAAATGATGAAACAAGAACTTACCTCTGAAGCTATCGAAACGATAAACACACGAAGACTCAAAGAAGCAGAGGAAAGAGGAGAAATAGATCCGGAGATTAGAAAGAGGAGAGAAGAGGAAAAGGATAGAGAGGAAAATGAAGAGATCAAGAAAAGCTGGAAGAGTGTACCCAGTTTACCGAAGAAGTTGCTGGGCAAGGGCGAGGATCATAGACAACCGAGTTTGCCTGTGGAAGCGAGGAGTTCGAGTTCGAGTACTCATGTAGATTCGCCGAAAAGAGCAGGCTCAAGTTCTTCGAAGGATAAGAAGCCGAGCAGAAGTGGTAGTACAGCGTTACAACCTGTGCAAGAAACTCCGACAGTAGCTCAGCCATCGTATCCACAGCCAGTAGCGAGAAGAGGGGAGGGCGTGTTACCGCCTAAGAAAGGGGTTGGGCAAAAAGTATTGGCGGGTTTCAGAAAGGCTGATTTCGATAGAAGCTAGTGGCATTTTTTTTTTGGCCTGACGAACAGTGATCTAGGAGGATCACTGAGATGAGAAGATAATTTTGGAGAAAAGATGGGATGTATATCTATTCGGACACTATCGGAATTTTAGCGAGGCGTTTTTGGGGGGTCAAACGAGCGAAGATACTAGGTCTTTATTATACCTTAAAGGAATACAACATCATGAGAGAATAATGAATATTATGTAATAACGATTTCCAACAATTTATTGCCATTTTCTGCACCATGATCATTGCCAGTTAGCAGTATTGCGTCAGAAAAGAAAAATTGACTTCGAAGCTACCTTTCTTTAATGATTCGTTGAAAGTAGTCCATTTAATAACTCACGTGATCGAGGAAATGGGTTGATACTACACTTCCACGAAAGGAAGAGCCCTGTGACTTTCTATGTTATAATCACATCACTTTTGAGAATAAGATAGCACATTTAGAATAAATTCAAGCGCTTCTTGCATGGTGAGTTGAGTCTGATCTCGTTCTAGAATAGCATCATGACATCTGGAAAACGAATTCAATCATTGCTATTTCCCTACTCATTTTCCTAGAAACTTCATTGTAGTAATTGTGTTACTACTGAAACATCAAGAAGTAATTCTCAAACTATGGTCTTTGAATATGGGCAGAACGCATTTTGCATAGATGCCATCTGCCCATATTCCGCAAGTGCAAGATCCCATGCATGACCTGTCAAATTTTGATCAAACCTTCATATTTTGTATCATCGTTATTCCCTGCCCCTAGGCTCACTTTCCTCTCAATACACCCAAGCCCAAATTCTAAATCCGACACATATTCAGCGAACATCTGAACAAAAACAGTCGGCAGAAGCAATTACACAGGCGTAGGTGGAGGTTGAACCCAAACTACCGTTGCATCTCCGCGTGCTAGAGGAATCTTCGAAGTTGGTGGTGGGGGGACCCATACGATGGTTTCGTCTCCGCGCTTCTTCTGCTTTGTTGTGGATATTGGGACGAGGATTTCGAGAGGTTCGTATGTGTTTTTGCGGCTGAGAGCTCGTTCGATTGTTTTGTCTGTGGCTGCGACTGCATCGTTTTCGGGGATTGTTGAGATGTGGTGAGTGTCGGTTTCGGAGCCGTGTTGGGTGAGGATTAGAGCGTTAGGTTCATTGCGCTCAATAATTTCAAAGTTTATATCTGTTTCTTTGTGAGTTATATGTTGGGTCTTCATAGTGTATATTTTTTTTTCTTTGGCATTGTATACTATCAAACAGATGCTAAGGAATAGGACAACTCCCGTACGTACCATGTGAAACTACTGGAGCTGAAAGTCCAACGACAGTGAAAGAGGAGAGAACGACGAGGAACTTTTGGAGATGCATATTCGAGGTGAATGTGGAAAATTCTGACAGTGATCTTGATCCTGATAGAGGGATCCCAATCTTCAAAATAAGAAATAAACATATTTTAATACGAGACTCTCTTTCGTACGACGAACTAAGATCCTCAAATCGGAGTATCCAATATTCCTGATTGTCACAATTACGAAGTGATCATCCCATCGTGGAACATCCATGAGGGGTATACGATCAAGATTTCTTTCGGATAGATGCATGAGATGGTACTCAGTATTCTATCCCACGTTCTCTTGATTGTGCAATATATACCATTTTGCAAATTCAGAGTCCAGACACTCAGAATGTTGCCATGCTTACTTTCCTAGAATCCACATCCAGATGCTATCGGCAAACCTGACACGCTGTTCATGAATGTATACTGTTCGATGATGATTGTGCATCGAAGTTACATCGCACGATTGTCAGACGTATCGAGGATACGAGTGTTGTGCACCTCAGACTGTGTAATGACCACTAACGAATATATGCTTTGTAGCTCGCATGATAGTAAATAAACGACATCTGCACAATACTGGGTTCAATTCAATTCTTCGTTATACTGCGGCTCAATTTACACCGTGGTGGATGTTCTCAAGCTTAAGTGATATCTACTTCATTTTAAGCAAAATTAAATGTAGTATTCTGACTTCTGCAAGTACCCGAGAGTGACAACTCATCCGGGGAAGTGAACTTGCATCTTCCATTGATATTGCCACAGCATGATGAATGGCTCGGAACCCTTTGCCGTTTTAGTGTTATGATCCTCGTGGCGGAACTGGACATGTTTATTTCGGACGATGCGACCACGGCCAGATCCGAGGAGTTCAAATGGAATGAGCATCTTGTGACGTTTGGGTTTAGCGCACGGAATCTTAGTTGCCACTGATGAGCACGAAAAATGTTATTTTACCATGACGATGTTACATACTGGGAGCTCGAGCCGTTGGTTGAAGAAATGATTGAAATGTTTTCATGATCTTTGATGTAAACAGCGAAAATCTCACACTTGAGAGATAAAGATCTTCTGTATGAAAGATCAAAATACCGAGAATCAAGATGGATACAACACCCAAGTCCATCGACCATCTCATGCGAGCTTTTCATTTCGCCTCTCCTCCAAGCTTCTGTCCGCTTCCATGTACACAAATATGTTTGTGTTCATCAAGCGACAGCCACGAGGACCTCCATAAATCAGATGGTACATCGGAACTAGTTCCGATATCCGTTATCAGTGTTGCACTTCACATGCAAGATTTACTTACTATCTCAATTATGCGTCATTGGAGGTGATCAGATACCTAGTACAAGAGTCTGAGTTAAGATGGTACCTTTTTGTTGGAGTTTATATCCGTAGGCAATAATGAGCTCCAGATCTATTTTCTGGTAGTAAAGAAAAGCTAAGATTGTCATTTTCTGAGTGTGCTTTTCCTCTCGCTCTTGTTGAAACTCTCATCCTTCGTTGAAACAGGTTTAGAGAAATGATGGGAAGTGGAAACCAGATCATCGAATAGCAAGCATACACATGAGAGGAGCTACTTACAGTTGGTTTGGCAACATGACAATTTACTTGTAGATCTGGGGATCGCCACTACAAAGCCGTCGAGTCGATCACATGAATGTTTAATTGTTACAACGATTGCAAAATGGGCTCTGGCTTCAACTCTTAAGCTTTTTTTCCATGTTGCAAAGAGAAGAACCTAGAGAAGATTCGGAAATGAGATCGAAAAAGACAGGAATGCTAGATAGATATATGAGGTTACAATGAGGTTGATAATGAAAAATTGTCATAATTAGGTAACCTGTGAATGCACAGAAGTAATGGCCTGTTACGAACCTAAATCCTTGTAGAGTTGCTAATATTTCCATGATATCCATAAAACTAGAGACCATGCTTCATTTCGAACTCACTTCTAATGATATTAACGATCATCTACTTACTCCTAGATTTTCCAAATCTAAAATTACGTCTGACAGCAACTCCTTAAACTCATCCGCCTCCTGCTTATCTCTCATCGTCCCTACAATGACCTCTAATTCCTCCGCCATTTGTCTTTGAGTCTTTTGATCATTGGCGTAACGCCTTCGCATGCCATCTCCTGCTTTTGATAATAATGCTGTGGATAGTTGTAGCATGGCAATATGTAGCTCGATGACCACCGACGACGACAATGAGGCAGGTAGTTTTATGGCAGATGTTGTTGAAATCAGAGTCAACCATTCCTGTTTAATGTATGACGTTGACTCTTCATCTATGACTGCGAGTAGGGTGCGTACGATTTGAAGACCTCTTGCTGCTTCTGCGGTTATGGAAGATTGAGGATTGGTGGGTGCTGCGGTATCGGCAATTTGGCTAAGAATATTGAGGAGATCTTCGGAAACCACTTGCCATCCATCCTGGTTCAAGAAAGCTTCCACGCCATCCTCGGTGGTCATAATTCCTTCGAGCGCGAGTAATATAGGATATCTGAAGTCAGGTTCATTCATATTACTTATTTTGTATAGCTCAATGAACATATCCATCATACCAGCACTTTCTTTGCGTAGGTTTTCGTTCTCATCCTCACGAACCCATATAGCTAATGCTCTTATACTAGCTAGGATCAGGGGGTCCGCAGTAACCTTATCTTCGATAGAATCCCAGGTTAAAGTAAGTCTTGTTCCTTCAGATGTGGCAGCAGTTCCAGCTCGTGCGGAAGGATGTAATCCAGAAGCACCGGCAATAGATGCGTCCCATCTATCTCGCAGGTATTCAATTGCCAAAGACATAGTCTCAGCAATATCCTTTCGCAACTTCAACATTAAATCTGGGGGCATGGTGAAGGTTTTGGAATTTTCTTCATCGAGACTTCGAACAAGATATCCTATGAAGCTTGAGAGAACATCGAACGCGGCTGCAAGTCGTTGTGAGATACTTGAATAATCACTGTTATTCAATTTCGCTAAGAGTGATGGAAAGGATGATCGCAAGTCAATCAATAAAAGATTTACAAATAGATAAGAAAACGGCTTGCTATTGCTTTCATTCTTATTCGAGGTATACAGACTTTCATCGTTAAACAACAATGAAGGACATGTCACAGGATATGCTTGTAACAATGCCGCTGCCGCCTGAGTATATGCAACTCTACCAGCGAGTGTGGGTTTTCTGTTGACTAACTCGCGAAGCAAGGCAATTACAGACTTAAGCCACTTTGGATTACGTGGAAGCGCCTAAAACATGTTAGACTCGGCACTGAATAGGGGAAGTGTTGATTTACCTCAGAAGATAATTTGGGTATAAAGCTTGAAACAAAAGATAAAAATGTAATTGCGTCAGTTCCTTTGAATACTACAAGGAGGTTTGAAATCACTCGATTGATACTTTCATGGACAGCTTGTACTTCGATCGTAGAACCATTTGCCCAAGTATAATTTAGAATGTCGAGAACAAGGGGGTATTGTGGCGATATCTCTATTAATGATGAGATATCCTCAACTTTCAAAAGTTCTAGAGAGCCTTCTACCTGGCTGACTATAGTTAACAGCGTTTGGAGAATAAGCTGTGTAGTTTCAGGGGAACTAAGTGGCATTAGCACGTGATTCACATACGAACCGTTGGAGTGTTACCTTTGAATAAGTGCTTTGACCAGAGGTCCTGTTCTTCCAGTGAGCTGTGGTCCCCTTCGAACATCTTCTGGCAATAGTATAGAGAATATATGTAGTACAGCTACTGCGAGATCTACCATATCTTTTGCTTGGGCCTTGTCAATTTTTCCACCAAACTGAGCTCGCAATAGTCGATCTAAAAACTTTGAGGATATAGATTCCCAAAGTATTTGTAGGCGTTCTGTATTTTTGACGAGCTGTTGTTCGTTGTCAAGAACGGATTTAAGGAGAGCAAGTCCTACGAACCTGGAAGTGTCGTCTTTCGCCTTTAGGAGGTCCTTCATTTTTTCAAAAGTTGCGCCAGGGCTACTGAGACCCGTTGGCTCAGAATTTGAGCTATCGCTGACCTTTGATTCTGACATGCTTGATTCAAAGTATGTTTAAAATATTTCATTTATTCACGTCGGAATTAAATAAAAATTTGATTTTGGAAGAATGATGGATGGAATTGGGATTGGGTATCAAATAGCCTTCGGTCGGAATCGGTAGAACATTAATCCGGAGGATTCTAGAGCACTCGAGACTCTTAAGTCAACGACAAAGCTATTTCAGCTTACTACTACCCACAGAAGATGCAGATACTTCTACCGAATGTATAAAGATGGCCAGTTCATCTGCGGGTTATTTCGCAACTCGGCGACACCCTGATTCGTCGTCGAGTCGCAGTCCACCAAATCATCCCTCAGCCGAAGATGACAGCGATAACGATGATCCCCAAGCTGTACTTGCAGACGATCCACTTGACGAAGACAGCCCAAACCACTTCTCATTTAAGCGCAAACAAAAACAACCTGCGACGTCCAGATTTCTATCTGCATTTACCAAACCGATTAGTGGGTCCGAGTCGCGGCATAATACACCATCACCGAGAGGAAGCACACCAAGCCCAGGGAATGGTCGAGCGTACCCAATAGGAAATAATTCACAACATAGTCCTACGCCTAAAGATGGAGGCCCATTGGATTGGTACATTGAGGGGCCAGGTCGACGGGTTGGATATGAGGATATGACAGCTATTGATTGGATCTTTGAATACACGAAAGAACGACAAAGGCTACGGACGTTATACTCGAACGCAACAGGATTAGTTGGATATGTAAAACAGCTTTTGGACGCAAGTCAGATATGGATAGTTCTTGTTCTGACTGGGCTGGCAGCGGGCGCATTTGCAGCCGGAATCGATATTGTCACGGATTTTCTTGCAGATTTGAAGACAGGATATTGTCGAGCTGGAGAAGACGGGGGTCACTTTTACCTCAACAAATTCTTCTGCTGCTACGGATATGACAGTGTTGCCAAGTGCCGTGATTGGATACCATGGAGTGTTGCGTCAAACATTG